CACTAAAATGTATTACCTTAGTTCTCCATTGAGAAACATGTACATGTACGGTATCAATTGATGCTGTTGACCGTGCTAGAATCCCAATAACCACGGTTCTCACGGAGGAATAAGATCATATCCAGCGGTGCAGGTTGCAACCCTTGTCTTTGGTGACCAAATGTCACCCGCGTCACATTAAATAAGCGTTCCACCACGTTAGACGTTGGTGGAATCGTCATCAATTGCTCGTAGGAAACAGCGGGTCCGGCAATCCGGCGGCGCTTACGAAGACGTTCGACAAACGAAAGATCTTCGTCGTCCGATTCCACCGTTGCGTCCCCCGCCAGCTTTATGAAAGGGCCGAGAGCAGTCTTCTCCGCACGCGTTAGGTGGTCCTGCCGGCCTCTCAGAACGTGAACACACCCTGACTCAAAGTCAGGGCTGTGAACGATTTCAGCTCGAGAACCTAATTAAGCATAATAAAAAAATAACATTAGAGCTACAATAAAAGAGTTAAGCTCATCATAAACGTACCGAGATGTGTCTCCAACTGTGGTTTTAGAGCAATAAGCTTATCAAACCACTGCCGGACATCCAGCAAATCCACATCGCGATCTTGGAGAGCCTTGGCGACGGATTCTACGTCCTTGAGCTCCTTAAACAAGGCTCGGAGGCGCTAGATCTGGGGGTTGGTGTAGGCGCTGCCTGGTCGTGTGGTAAGAACCGTGGTAGTTACAAGAGTGGCTGGAAGCAGGTGAGGCGTATCGACGAAAATGCGAAATAGCTGACAGTTGAGAAGACCCAGAGAAGGTTGGAGTCGATCGGTGGTCCAAAAATGACTGGTTGCTGTGAAAATTATTATATAAAAGAACCTTTAATAAATTATGGAATCATTCCTATTCAGAAAATCAATTATCACATGGTCAGGTATAGATCTTTGAAATAAATAATTTACTAAGAATTGTGGTAAATAATGTTATGGTAAATGTATATTTCGGACCTGATTCTTAGCAGTCAGTTGTTGCTAGATCCAGGAGCGGTAGACCATCGGCTTTCTGCAGAGCAGTGCAACACCCGCCACACCTCGCCCTCGAACGTACCGAGGCAATACAAACGAGTTGCCCCACACACATCTCTTTGACTTGGACGCATGAGGAACCTTCACGGATAATATAAATATCGAAAAAGTTAGTGAAAATAAAAAGCCAAAATATAGAAACGGGGATGCATCTATATGTGCGCTGTAAATCTAGGATAGTGCCTGTACATCGTTTCTCACTCTTCGTGATCTTAAAGATGACGACAGCAAAAGAATAAAAATGACTTTCCGCGTTCTTCCTAGGCGCAGATGCTTCATTGCTGACAATCGGCGATGTCGCTTTTCCATAAAGATATAAACA